TCGCTGGCCCGATCGCTTTCCGAAGCTCCCTCGCTTCTCAGGATCGGGACCTGCGGGCTGTCATCCCCCTCTTGACAAGCCAATAAAGATGCCGCCCCCCCGCCCCGGGGATCCTGGCCCCACGTGGTTGGCCGGGCGGCCCGAAAGCGAAAGTAGATTGGAGGAAGGAGGCCGGGGAGATGTTGGCGATCCCTCCTGATCAGTGGGGGTGTTTAGCCTGAGGTTACTTGCAGATAACGGCCACGCCTCTCCACCGCGCCGATGGGTCCGTAGAGCCTCTAAGTTCCAAAGCAGGCTACCGTAGAAGGAGCTACAGGCGCAAGAGGGAGGCGTTGACTTCCCCACGGTGCTTCCAATTGCGGAGTCTGCCGTTTCTGGTGCGCGGGGCCCCCGCAAGGGAAGGGGTCTTCCCGGCTCGCTTGTAGCCCCCGCCCCTTCCGAAAGGTTCCCTTGGAGATGGCTGCTGGCTTCAAATCTCGCCCACTCTTGTTGGCAGAGCTTGGTCTCTGCTGCCTACGCCGGACGGTCGGAGAGAGGTGTGGCCATCTAGGGTGGCCTGATGGGGTGGGGGCCTTCCTGTCGGAACTTAATCCAAGGGCGGGAAGGGAGATCCAACCCTGGCTCCTACCCCAGAGATTCAGAGCCTCTTCTCCATGCGCAGCTCCCCCACCCCCTATTTAAGAGGGACACAAAGGGAGGTACGGATATCACTGCACCCGGCGTGGGTGGAGCACCAGGGCGAGGACAGAAGCCGCGTGGGTGTGTCTGCAAAACGATCACCTCTGCCCCGCCAGTGCGACTCGCCAGAGCAGGCCAGAAGGGATAGCAGATAAAAAGCGTAAAGGAGTTTAATCGTAACAAGAGGAAGAGCCAGGGGTCTACCCTATAGATTATTATTTGGGCTCACCGCTTGCGGTGTTCGTGGCAGCTCAGTCCCAAGAAACACATTCAGCTTAGCTACCCTGGGCCCCGAATGGACCAGCGTGACCAGAAGCCTGGACTGTTGGATTCGGAGCAGCTGGGAAGGGGAGGAGTTGGTTCAGATTCCCCCTCCCTGTGGAAATTCACTGATGACCTTCAGAAGTCCTTGCTTAAGTTATCCTACTTTGCAGGGGCGTTGGGAGGGCCAGCAAATGAATGATGCCATTCTGTGGGGGATGCTAGCTCGGTAGGGTTCACTGCTCAGGGGCTGCACCTTCAGAAACCAGGTACAAAGCCAGCGCAGAAGTGTTAAATGCGGTGTGGCTTGGGTGCATTTGTGAGAGGCTATCTATAGCTCCCCCCCCCCCCCCCCCCCCCCC